GTCTCGAAAGTGAATTAAATCTATACAGTTTGGTAATCTTATATCATGGGGATAGGTTTTTCCTTTTGTCATTTCCTTAATTAATATTGTCTTTGCCATATGAACATGTGGCTAGTTGATTAGAACATTCATTTTCTGACCATGAGACCTTGGTTTAAATCTCACCATGGTCAATTTGTAGAGGACAAATCGACCTAGGGAGGTAATCCCAGTGAGTGACACTGTTGGAAAAATGTCTGAAAACCCTATGGCCTATTGACCCAAGTCTCATCAGTGAAACTGGACAGATAAAAAATGTTCAAAAGTTGTTGAAGGTTGTGCTAGCCTGAAGTCACAAGTCATCATGGCTGAGGGTTTCAACATGGTGGCTTTGTTCAAACTGCTGATAATGTCAATTTATACACTTTCTCCCAGAAACTGTAACTAAGGTTTGCTCAGAATAGTTGCAGTACAAACCACAGGTGAATTCTCTAAGTGTTATACAAACACAAACGTGCCTGAGTAAGAGTCTGCAATAGGGATTGGCTAACCACCCTAGAAGATGGGTGGGGTCAGAAATGAGTTGCCAGCAAATATTGTTAGCATTTGGATATAAATATATATTTGTATCCAAATATTTATACATATGAGGACTGTTCAAAAAGTTCTAAGGCTCACCTGGAAGGAGTTGTAGAAACAAGACAGTTTTTTAGTATTTTTCAATATAGCCCCTCTTGACATCAATGCACTTAGTCCAATGATGATTAAGCATTGCAATCCCATCAAGGAAGTATGTGGTGTCCTGCTCTTCCAAAACAAAACATCATGGACTGAACCAAAATTAATGCCTATGGACTTGCCTAACGGCTACACAGTAAGGCATCTGTCACCCAAAACAATACGGTGAATGGCATCAAATTGTTCATCAATCATTAAGGATTTTTGATGTCCTGACTGAGGGTGCATCTTCTGTGCTGTCCCTGCCCCACTTGAATTCCACAGCCCACTTCTTCAGAATCGCATAGGAAGAAGTCCTCAGCCAATATCTATACCATGTTCACATGGATTTCCCTGGGTGTCAGACCTTTTTTTTTGCAGATATGTTATGGCTTTTCAGGCCTCTGTTTTGTTCATTTTTAGATTTGTCACACACAATTCACCTTTGTATGAACCTCACCTGTACAGAAATTAAGACAGAAATCTGAATTATTTTTTTCTAGTTGTAAAAGTACTGGTAGTATGTTTGTAGTGAAATGACCAACAATGCATTTTTTTTATAACCAAATGATCAACAATGCATTTTTTATAGCCAAATGACCAACAATACATTTTTTATAGCCAAATGACCAACAATACATTTTTTATAGCCAAATGACCAACAATGCATTTTTTTTAATAACCAAATGACCAACAATACATTTTTTATAGCCAAATGACCAACAGTAAATGAGGACGACAATCTGAACAATGTAAATAGTGTAAACAGGAGTAGATAGGTTCACCTATTGTCCAGTTCACACTCCTCCCCAGTTTTTTGACTAGGAGTAGAGGTTTATCTCTGGTTTCATGTTGTGGATTGGATTTTACGTTCCCTCTAAAACAAAATTTCATTTGATTTTTACTGTCAGTTGTCCTTTGCATCTTAGTGTCATTGTAGTCAGTTTCTTTTGCCTTGTAATCAAGTTCCCTGATTCATGCCTTTCTACCAACAGAGTGTCGTAAGTCCAACAACAGCTTCTCTTTGCTATCATAGTTGCACTTGAGTTGCAACTCAAATTTTGCATGTCAAGAGATTCTCACGAACATCTGTCTTAAGCTGAGATCTATCTTTTTTAAATATGACTCGTAAAACAGCCATTTCCATTTTTGAGTAATTTACATGCGAGACATGTCTCAATCCTTCTTCATTCTGGAGGTAAGGTTTTGCTCAGGGTGAATTGATTTTTTTATAAAAAGGAACAAAAACTGATATTTGTAGGCGGATATTTCTTTGTAAAAAAGAATGGGCTTGATTGAGCTTTATGTGAGTTGCACACACCACACAAGCTCCACCCAAACAAATATTTGACTCTTTTGGTAGATTTCTTTTTACACAGATTGAAAATATTGTTTTTGTTCGTATTTTTATTTTTTTAAAAGATTGTTTGATCAGGAAGCTGTAGTGAACTGCTACAGAGGGCAAAGAGGCCCAGGGTTGTATGCATGTATTTGCAACAGTCAATGTGGCCCTAGAGAAAATGGCTTACCTACAGGACGAAAATGGATACAAATGTATCTTGCATATAAACTGTCCAAAAGGAAAAAAATGTCAGCTTCGTGGATCACACATTTAAAACAGATAGATCTCAAAGTGGGATAGACTCACGTGAGAGTCTCTTTTTACATTTTATAAATTTTGCATATATAAAAATACTAGCAGTAGAGCCCAGCGTTGCCCGGGGATGTTACAGTAAGAGATAGATCAAGTATCGACCATCATAAAGACTGAAAAATAAAATTGACAAAGATTATTGTTTAAGGTTGACGGACATGCATGTCTTAATTAATTAGTTTGTTTGTTTATTTTTTTTGTTTTTTTTACCCAAACTCAAAAAAAAACATTGTTTTCAATCGTTCTGAGTCTACCAGTTGAATAGAATTTTATTATAATCAATCGTCTTGTAAATGGAATTTTTAAAGCATTCTGAATGTAAAAATAAAGAAAAAAAAATTTGACAATAAGAAACACTACCTGCAAAAAAAAAAAAAAAAAGTTTTGTTTTGTTGAAAATGTAGGAAATCCGATCCCATATATAAATGAACACACACACACACAACAACCTGGGTTTTATAATAAGTATAACTCGATATGAGTTGTCCCCCTTTCATTCTCGTGACAGCAATGCCTCTTAATCATGTTTTCAAATTGATTTCGTGCAAAAACAATTGTTTTTCCAATTTTTGGTGCTGTCAGAACCACCGCAAGGTAATTTTACATAGTCCTGTGAAGTTTTGTTGAAATCGGTTGAAAAATGTAGAAAATCCGATCCAATATATAAATGTACAGACACACACACACACACACACACACACACAACCTGGATTTTATAATAAGTATGATGTATAACAAGGTGACAGGGAGAATGGTGACTGTTGTATCGAACTTGGGCACTTCAGCGTGGTGTAATGGTTAACGATCTTGTCTCACAAGATCAATCCTGACTGAATAGATGCCCTGTCAGCTGGGGCTGTAGAATACGCCAACTCCACCTCTGCAGAGGGATAAGACCCTCCCCCCTATGAGTGTCCTGGGTAAGGCAATAAACTGTATCCAACAGTAAGGCCTTGATGAAAAGGTTTTGAGGAACATGGAACCACCTCTTAATTGCTGGTGTTCCCAGGTCCACCCTGACCCAGGGTGGTAGCACCTGTCAGCGTTCCAGCTATGGGCAAATAGTTACCCTCACCCCCAAAAAAGGGGTAAAAACACTATGAAAGTATAAAAATAGGTTTTAATACCAGCAATATTCTTTTTGAAAAATTTTTACCAGCAATACATTTTTGGAAAAAAATATTACCAGCAGTAAAAACTTTGTTGGCATTAAATAACTCATTATGGTTGTGTGGTGAACAGCCTTGTAGAAGCAAGCGAGCCAGAGTGGCTTGCATCTGGTGCATAGGAAAATAAGGGTCTTACCTTAATGGGCAGCACGTGACATCGGCAAGTTTGCCCTGTGAAAATGGTATTAATTTCCCGTCTAGCAATTCTAGCACTGTATGCGGTAACGCGGGTTTTTTGTAGAGTTTGGCATGCTTCCACCAATAGCAAGTCGTGTGCTCATTGGTGGAACTGGAGGAGGCTATTTGCGTGGGTGTGAGTTCAATACCCGGTTAAGGCAGTGGAGAACTTTCAGAGGGAAATTAACAGGAGATAACTGATAACTGACATCCATTAAACATGACACGTGGAACTAGAACAGTCTACCCCAGTGAGTGAAATAAAGGGTTCAGTTCGACATTCCAACCACCTGAAGAAGGCCGAGCATACAACAGCTGAAACATTGTAATAAATATGGCGACAAAGACGAGGAGAATAGTCCAAATAATGTAAATAATGAAGAAACCTTTTGGTTAATTTAAAATCAGGTGTGATTTCATTAAGATTTGCAGTAGAAAAAAAATCATTATCCAGTGATCTCTTCCAGCTGCAACAACACTGGATTTAGGCGATTGTGGTTCTCCACAACGTCCTCTCTCTTTTTTTCCTCAAAGTAACATTTGATCCTTTGCCATCCTTCTTTGTCTCTGTTCTGCCATCCATTCACTCACTCAAGTGGATGTGTGGGTGGTGTGATGGATAATGGCTCAAAATGAGAAATCTGAGAGATGAGTTTGAATTTCATTCAAGTTCATTCACTTATGAGCAAATATCCTTGAGAAATGTATGAATCTCCTCCCCCAGCTATGGGTTAAATAGTAAGACATGTATCTGGCAAAATCATTATTATTCTCCAAAAATTGCTAATGCAATATTCACTCACGAAAAGAAAGAATTATTCTTATAATTAAAAATATGTTCTGGCTTTAAATAACCCACAAAAGGTTAAGCCATAAAAAAATAAATCATTCACTCAGATATTAAGTAGGTTCGTCATTGTTTTCCCACTCTTAGTGTCAATATTTCCTATGAGTGTCAAATTCTCCAGGCCCTCTGTCCTCATATGACCGAAAACTATATAAGATGAAAATATTTTATCAAGTCACATTTTCATTTCTTCTTCCAAAATAAACAGGTCACAGAAAGCATTCATTTACTCCTACTAAGGTGTGACAGTAAACAGACATATCATGAATTTAATCTTCACAAGTGCTCCTATTATTATGACCTTGTGCTAGACACAGCCTAGCAAATAACATGACATATGCAGCACATTACAATGATGTAATGATCAACAAAATCATCTCCAGGACCAAAATACTATATAAGGCTTGCAGTAGTATGTAAAAATTAGCGACTCGCCATATGAGTTGTAAACAAAAGAATGAAAGACAATGCAAATGAAAGATTAAAGACATACTTTTATTCATATTTGAATTCTTCTTCCTTTCTTTGTTTTTATCTTTCTATTCATCCTTATTTCCTTCTTTCTTCTTCTTCTTTCTTTATTTTCATTCTACCTTTCTTTTCCCTTTTTATTCATTCTTACTTTCTTCTTTCTCCAGTTATTCGTTCGTTCTTTCTTCTTTTTCCTTTTCATTTGTCCTTCCTTTTTTCTTTTCCCTTTTCATTTGTCCTTCCTTTTTTTTTCTCCTTTTCATTTGTCCTTCCTTTCTTTTTTTTCTCCTTTTCATTTGTCCTTCCTTTCTTTTTTTTCTCCTTTTCATTTGTCCTTCCTTTCTTTTTTTTGTCTCCTTTTCATTTGTCCTTCCTTTCTTCTTTTCAGTTTTATCTTTTTAACAATTTTATTTCCTTCTCTCTTCTTTTTATTCAGCTTCCTTGTCCTTATGTTAAAATTAATTTTCTCCCCATATGAGTTGTAAACAGAAGAACAAAAGACAATGCAAAACGAAAGATTAAAGACATACTTTTATACAAATAGAAAGAGAAAATGGAATTCTAATTAACTTACTTCTTTAGCAGTTTAATGTCAGTTCAGAGGAACAAAGTCCAATACATGAATCTGTTTGAAATAGATAGAAACAAATACCTAAAGTTGTTGATCATTATCTTTTCTTCCAATGTCTTGTTGTTTTAGGCATTAACATGTCTATTCACTTTTGCTTATTCTCTAGCCAGCATTACCCTGTTCTTTGGAGCAGGCTAAAACATGTCTTTTTCATCTCAGTGGTCTTCAGGCCTCTAGGCCTTTGGCACCTCAAATTCATTTGGTCCCTAAATTTGGGTCTTATTCCATTATTACCAGATAAATAGACTCATCTCTTCCTATTCTCTTATCAACCAAGGGAGATATGACCTATATTTTTCATATTATCTATAAATGCTATAACAATGTTTTTTAATACTTTGCATGATTTATAAAGGCATCTTTGCTGTTCCAATGTGCATTCAGATTTCAGAGTTACATCTGTCCACTGTTAAAACATGAGTTCAGTTTCCAAACTATGTAAAAAAATTAGGGAAAAATTAGTGACTCCTCATATGAAGTCATAAAATGAGGAACAAAAAGACAAGGCAAAATGGAAAGTTTGATGACGTACTTTTATATAAATAGAACATTTATACAAATAGAAAGAGAAGATGGAATTGCTAAACATATTTCTTTGGCAGTTAATGTCAATTCATCAGGGACAAAGTCCAATACATGTATCTGTTTGAAATGGATAAAAACTCTTATCTGAAGTTGATCATATCTCTCCTTCCAATGTCTACTTATCAAGGTAATAACATATATTTTCAGTTTTGCTCATGGCCAGCATCGCCTGTCCTTTGGAGCAGGCTAAAACGCCATTTCACCTCGGTGGTCTTCAGGCCTCTCCTTTGGTGCCTAAATTTGGTTCTTACCCATTGTTATCAGATAAATGGGCTCGTCTCTGCCTACCAGGAATCTTATCAACCAAAGTGAGATAAGCTATATTTTTCATAGTAGGTGTGTGTTGAGGTGGGGGTATAAATTGATTTTACTATGACACTCCTCCTGCTTATCTCTTCTGTTCAGTGACCCACATTCAAACCTAGAAATGAACACTTCCTAAATCTGAAACAAGTATCTTCATCTTTGTTGTTACCACAATGCTTCAACTATTATACCCTCCAGCCTTCTTCAGGCATATGTCAGGAAATTTCAAACTGAACCTCTTATTTAATCTACAGGAATTGATTGTTTTCATTCTGCTATGAATTTGTAGATATAATTTGTCTTGATCCCGTGTAGTAAGTTCATTACGTTCCCTTACTTGCAAATACCTTGGGAAAGACATTATTCCATATCTCCCACCATCTATGGATTAAATAGTAAGACTCGCAAGTGAAAAAATCATTATCTCCAAAATATCCACTGACAAAAAAAAATATTCTTAAAATCCAAAATATGTTTCAGCTTTAAATAATTCACAAAAGGTTGATAAGCCATAAAAAAAAAACAAATAAATCAATGTATTCCTGTACATTAAATGATTTCTTTTGTTAGAAATTCTCTGAAGGTTATCTGGATTAACAGACAGTTGACAAAAGTCGGAAGGCACAATGGCTGAAACGTTGTGATAACAAACAACAAAGATGAAGATATTATTCTGATTGTAAATAATCTTAAATTTTACTTAATAAAATTTCTAAAGTTTGGAGAGAAGAAAGAAAGGCTATAAAGTGCTTCCTTTATTTTGAGAGAAGAAAGTTCTCAAAATAAAGGAGAAAAATTGTGTGGCTAAGATTACAAAGATGAACAGTCAGAACGAATCTTTTTATTAGTCACATAACTTTCATAACAGCATCTATTCTGAAATTATGTTTTTTATATACGTGGTGTAACAGCAAAATTGTCCAATTGTTAGATTAAGCTTTGAACCATTGTATCTTAGAAATGATTAAAGATATCTTACTGGAATACTGCAAGGTTTTTATAATGCTATTGGACTCTACTTTGAGCAATAAGAGTGTATAATTACTCTCCAAGCTTAACAGAAGAATTGTGATGAAATCAATCATAAATGAAACCGACATATTCATCATTAATTTATCATAGCTAAGGATCAGAAGCTCATGAAGGATTGAAATTAAGTTCATATATATACATATTATTCCAGGATAATTTTCCAACTTATTCAAGATGATCTTTGCTTTGATCTCTAATCTAACTTTATGTCCTGGAATAACAAGGTGCCTCAGAGGTTTCATATACAATTTCATTTTTCAAGCCTTTTTTTTTTTTTTTTTTTTTTTTTGCTCTTTGGACTAGTTAGCTGAAACATCTCTCTCATCTGCCAAACGTCTTATGGATTGAGTTGGATCTTTTCTAATTGATCTTTTTAGCTTTAAGTTAAAATTATGATCCTTCTTGCTGTTGTGGTCTCCTGATAAAACATTGAATTCTTTCTTACACACAACGATAGAGTTAGGTACAGAAATAAAAATCTTAGTCGACTCATATAAAAAATATAACTAGTGCAACCTTAAAATTACTTAAATATGGCCAATATTTTTTTACCGTGCAGCTCATGTTAATTATGTATGCTTCTGCATTCAATGACTTAAAAAGTCAAATTCTTTATTACAAGCAATAACACTAGTCAACACAATTTTTGGTGCCAAGAAACAAAACATGATTTTTAACTAATTTGATGATGGTGATTCCAAAAATGATCTTATTTTTTTTCATGGTTAGTTACTGTTTTTGCTGTAGTGAAATTGCTCATTTTTGGAAAAAAGATCAATTTACAATCTTGACTAATCGCAAAATTTAGTTAATAAGGGTCACAGAAACCCATCAATTCAGGTAGGCTGAGCAATTTGTCATCCACCTGGAATAAACTATTTTTTATAAGAAAAAAAAAGTGTTTTTGAGTCAAAAATTTTAACATAGAAGTACCAAATTTTTTCAAATTATCACCAAAGTTTTATCAGTAATACACTTTAGTAAACCTGATAATTAAGGTGACATTAAAAAATGAAACCCTAAAATCTGTTTGATATTCATAAATTCATCCCATCACTTTTATCCTCAAGTTTTGTTCACCTGTGCTGTGGTCAGGTATTGAACTCACAACTCTTGGGCTCTAGTGAATGAATTACTTCAACCAACGCTTTTATCCACTGGGCCAAGTATTCTTTTAGGTCTGAGTAATATTTGTCTTTTCACCATTTCTGTCTTGTCATTTATTTACAAAAGCTTGTTATATAGGTTACTCACCGCTTTCCTTACTTCCTCAAGCTTTCAGTCTGTCCTGTGAGTGTCAAATTCTCCAAGACTTCTATCCTCCTTATGTATACCAGACATCTCAACTGTCTCTTTCTTATTCTAATTATCAGCATAATTTTTATTTTCCTTAAAACTTTGTTGTTACTCACATATTCAATCCATAGTATTCCCAACATCTTTCTCTTGAACCACGTCTCTGTGGTCTCTTTGTCATTTGGGATGAGATTGTCCAAAATTTCCTGCCATATAGGGGGATCAACATTTTATTACAGTTTAACACTCTTTTCTTTGTTTCGAATGAAGATTTCCTGTTTCTTAATACATTGCTTAGTGTTTGCAAGACATCTTTTGTGATTCCAGTAAGCCTTCAAATCTCAATGTGCCTTTTTCTGTTTTCTTTTAAGACACTTTCAAAATATTTAAATTTTTGTACTTGCTTTCATTTTGACATCTCCAATTTGTAGTTCATATCTTGGGCAACCCCTTTTGCTGACAACCACACATCTTCTTACAATCTTCACATCATTGATTGGTTCATTTCACCAAAAAATTGAAAAGTAAGAGAATTAAAGGGAAATAACTTTCATATCAGAATAGTGAGTTTTTTAAAATTTATGTACAAAGCTCTCATCTACGGACCCTCCATCAACGGAATTCAGATGCAATGGACAAAATCTGTTGGTAAAATAAAAAAAAAACAGCAGGAAAAAAACATTCCAAATCATCAGTAACGTATCTCAAAATTTGCGGGCTAAACAGAATGAGTCATAGTAGTTCTAAAAGTGACTTCTTGGTGAGCAGTGACGGGCTTTTCAATTGTAAACAAAGATAGGTGTACAGTATATAAAGTACGATACATTAGTGCATGCATGAGAAAGTACCTGTGAGAAATATATTATTTTTGTTATTTTGATTAATATATCTATATTAAGTATATATTTATGTATGCCATATATACATGTTTATAGCATTTACATTATGAACATAACTACTGGTAGTTACTGTAGTGGTTTGATAACTTAAAAATAATCCCTTCTGATCTACAGACAATTCACTTTAACATACCACTCCGTCCCCATATCAGTCCACTGATGATAGGTTTGTCTGTATCATTTTAAAATGTTCTTGTTTTTGTATTATAATGAATACCTTTTTCTCCATAAAATCAATGAAGTCAGTAAAAAAAATAAATGACAAAAAACAAACTCATTTAAATTAAATATTTGTCATATCCCAAGGACATGTGTGAATATATTATTAAAAAAAACGTAATTAATTCATCTTAATCTTTTTTCTTTAGTTTAATATTTTAATCATTTTGGTTATATTTTATTTTCATTAGCCAATAAAGGGACAATTTTCTGGCTTTAACATTAAATAATTTTTGTAACAAACCGACTTGTAAATCATTCATTATCATAATCAAATCAATGTGTGTAATTAAAATAATTTTGGGAAAAAAAGCACCATTCAGATATAAAATTCATCTCCCTTCTTTATTCTTTGTTATTCTACTTTTTGGTGCAATGAACTAAATTGGACTAAATTTAAAAACGCTCTGGTGAAGACAGTTTTCAGAAAAATGACATTCGCTGTTATAACCAAAATGTAATATTAGAAACAAGGGAAATAACTTTGTACCGAGTTATCTCCCTTTAACAAGTTTTAAACAATTTTCTAAGATGTTTATTTCGATCTGCTCATCACGTAAAAAAGCCATTGACTTGGTAGAAAACAAATTCCAGTTCAAGCTCTTATTGGGAAAACTCACATATCCCGTCGCTTTGTGATACCGCCAAATATCTTCTGTAATGCTGCTATAACTGAAGAGGATTTCTGCCAATATTCAAGCAAACCACTCTCTTATAAATATAACTGAGGCAGTAATGATAAAAACTGTTACTACCATTACCACCCTTGCCAGGAGACAGCATAACATTTATTAATTTTAATCATTGGAAAAAAACTGGAGGGTCAAGTTGGGGTTACAGTCGGGTTTGTTACATTCACTTACATGCAAATACACTTGGTAAAGGTATGAATCCATCTCTTCATCTGCCCCCAGCTATGGGTTAAATAGTAGGTCTTGTATCTGGGAAAACAATTACTCCCCCAAATTGTTAGTGGAATATTCAAAGTTTAACGTGTGTAGTAGTGAGTTAACTGAGAAGGGTTTGTCTTAAAAATGGAAGGATATTCATATCGTGAGCAGACAAATATAATCTTTACATATGGCTGCACGAATGTTAATGGGTGTGAGGTTACATGGCTGTATCAGATTGCATTTCCTGACTTAAGGCAGCCGAGTCATCCAACCTTTGCTGCTGTTTATTGTTGCATTGCTGAGACAGGATACACCATATATTTAAATAAAAAGAAAGAACAGTAAGATATATAATCCGGTGTTCTTATAGATATTTTTATTTTTACAAAATAGTGCTCAATGTAAATTTACAGAGCATTAATATTATAAATTAATTGATTTAAAATGTTTTTTTCCGCTACACAGTTCTAACCATGTTTCAAAAATGGAAGCTAAAAGCCACGAATTTAATTTTGAAATTAAATTAAAGACATTATTTCCATTTCATCCTCAAGCGAATTTTGGAGTAACTTTTAAAATTACTGGGTTTTAAAGACAGCTAAAATCACGTTTCCATGGTTACAGATAAATCTATTTCAATTGGACAACGGTTGTCTGGGTTTTCCTTATGTCTGTATCATTGTATCGGTTATTAGCTACATTTTGGTAAGGGGTAGGGATGTATTTTTCAATGAGAACTGACATCCGTTACGACATGCATTCAACGGATGTCAGTTCTCATTGAAAAATACATCCCTACCACGTTATAATTTCTTGTTTGTTGATAAGCCATAGAAAACAAATCAATCAATGTAATATTGATTTATCTTTTTTCCTTTTATCTTTTTCTTTTTCCTTTTATCTTTTTCTTTTTCCTTTTTTCTTTTTTCTCTTTTTTTGAATTGATTACATATTTTAAAAAAACCTTGGTCTGAAGAGATGAACATTTGAATATATTCATCAAATAAATTATAACCAAATGTTTTTTAAGGATCGTCTGTACTTATTATTAGCAATATTATATATATATATATATATATATATATATATATATATATATATATATATATATATATATATATTTTTTAGTTATGTACATTTTAATAGTTGGGCATTGATGACAAATATTATCAACTTTTCACTTTGCGACCACTTCCTCGTTGGAATGAGACTTAGTCATTAAATGAGAAACAGTTGTTTTTATTTATTTTCCAGTATAATATTAACTCTGAGATAATAAACTGGAAAATACCTGTTGGCAAAATACCTTGTCAGTGACTCTTTGAGAGACTTAAAAATAATTCTTCATTTTTTTTTTTTCCATTTTTCAGGTAATTCTTAAAAACATGGAGTCATCAGAAGACACAAATTTGTTGCTCACGTGCGGGGAAGAAGAGTTTGATGTTATCATCCATGAACTCAGTGCAGGGGTAAGATCTTTCTTCATGGCATTCTCTCTCTCTCTCTCTCTCTCTCTCTGAGCCCTAACCCTTTAGAATTAGGGCAGTCATGTCTCTCCACAGCTTTCTTCTTTCCTTCTGTTGCTTTCATGGATATTGTTCCTTTTTTATGCTATCTTTCTTTTTATGATATTTGTAGTTCATTTGTTCAAATTTTGCAAGTTACTTTCTCACTGTTTCCTATGTTTTGAACTTGTTAAATTCGCCAAGCCTTCTTTCCTCTATTATCAATTTTAAAGGCTATGCCTCTTCAGGTTGAAGATGATCATTACTCTCCACAGATTCCATTTTTTTATTATCTGAGACTTACGGCCCCATCACATTGAAACACTAGCTCCCGTACGATCAATAAAGTTAAGCAATGTTGATCCTGGTCAGTACTTAGATGGGTGATTGCTTGGAAATGTCAAGTGCTGTGCATGTGGTGTAATGGATAATGGCTCGGAATTGTTACTCGGAGAGCAGAGTTTCAATTCCTGTTAGGTTCGTTATATTCACTTAAGCGCAAACACTCCTGGTAAAGATATGAATCCACCTTTACTCCTCCAACTATGGGTTAATTAGTAAGACTTGTATTTGTAAATCATTATCTCCCCCTCCCCACCTAAATATCATTCTTTCAATCTAAAAATATTTTCCGGCTTTAAATACCCTGCAACGGGTTGATAAACCATAGAAAACAAATCAACCAATCAATGAAATACTGATTACCTACACAGGCACGTCTTTTAGATTTATTTACATTCTCTGGAATATAAATGTATAGAAACTAACATGGACACAAAGTGAGGGATCAGTTGATTTATTTATTGTAATATAGAATTGATCCCCCATTTTATATCCACGTTACAATTTCTTGTTTGTTGATAAGCCATAGAAAACCAATCAATCAATCAATCAATGTAATATTGATTAGCTACACAGGCATGTCTCTTAGTTTTATTTACATTCTCTGGAATATAAATACATAGGAATTAACGTGGACACAAAGTGACGAATCAATTTATATGGTGTTTATAATATATAATTGATCCCCCACTCTATATACACATAATAATTCTTTGTTTATCAAATTCTGATTATGTATGGATCTATTTCATTTCCCCTAGCTATGGGTTAATTGGTAAAGACTGGCATCCCCAAACCATTATTATCTCCCAAAAAAGTTCTTACAATCTAAAAATATTTGCTGGCCTTAAATAACCTGCAAAGTGTTGATAAGCCGTAAAATACAAAAGAGGTTTATTATCTGGGAATACAGTGAAGTGATTTCGCAGTTGCTTTCTCTATGTTTTAGAATTCCTTCTATTGCTACTAAAAAGCGAGACAACCCAAACAAGTCTGCTATTTAAACCTGATGTTGTTAGTGTGTGTGTGTGAGGAGGGGTTGTCTGCTATGCATGCATGATTTTTCAAAAGACATTTGTAAGAATGGTAATCATGCATTTAGTTATTTCCATACAAGAAACATTCAGCATTCATTGACCGAACAGGAATCATATTTACCCTTTGCTGTTTTTTTTTTTTTTTTTTTTTAAATCTTTTCATCCCATGTAAGGCAATAAAGTCACTAAGACACAAGGAGTTTATTAAGTGTTAGAGAATATGAGAAAAATATACTATTAAGGAGAGAGAAAAATAAAATAGCAGGAATTAAGAAAATCAAATTTGGTTGGAAAGCAAGAAACCAGAAGAGAGTTCCACATGTGAGAAGTGCGAGAGAAGAAATTGTTAGCATAGAATTCAGTTAAATCTAGCCATTTCACCTGTAAAACGATGAAACCCAACTATCAATCTAGTCTTCTTCTTTCTTCTATGTACTGTTTTCCTTCAGGATGTTGGAGATCATGACTCTCCACAATTTCCTGTCCCTTGTAGCTCTTTTGTCTTTTTGCTATAGCTCCCCTACCCTTGTGTAGAAAGGTCATCCATTCATTCAAGCACACCAAGTAGGTTGGGTATTAGTTTCTTCTTTCCATCAATCTGTCCTGTGAGTATCAAATTCTCCAAGCCCTCTTTCTGTAGAGTTTGATAATAGCAACAGATAGTACTCAACTGTAACTGAAGTTGAGTCTAACTGACTACAAGTCTGCTGTGCAAATTGGTAGGTGGTTTACATAACAGCCTGTGAGATTCCATTCGGTTACCCTGGCAAGTCTATTCTATAGGTTCTGTTTACCTGATGATTCCAGTCTAGATATTGTGTTCAATAAATATCCAGCACAATATCCACCTTGTTACTTTATTCAACAGAGGGACATGTATTGAGTTACAACTTTGTTTATTTTTGTCAGCTAACTGGACGCTAGTTGGAAATCTATTTTCTCTGACGGGATCAGGTTGTGCTTTGTGAGTCCCATCATTAATAAATGCTTTGGTCCTCCGTGACATATGGATGCCCTACTGTCAGGGAAGACCTTAAGTGTGGAGCTTTTCATATCAGGGATGCTTCGAGCTTGTCAATTATGTGTCTCAGAAACCTCATCTGTCTCTTCCTAATGTTAAGCATAAGTGTCCCCTTTTGTTGCCATTGTATCTGGAACTTTGTTGTTGCTTACATGTTTGGTCCATGGTATTCTCAGCATCCTTGTGTAGAAAGGTTTTTATTGCTTCAAGTCTCTTTATCTTTGAGGAGATTGTCCAGCATTCACTGTCATATTGGGTGACTGATATTACATAACAGTTCAGTACTCTTTTCTTTGTTTCTGTTGCTTCAGGCTTCTTCTTCATTTTTGAGGAGGTTGTCCAGCATTCACTGCTATGTAGGAGGACTGATATTACATAACAGTTCATTTCTCTTTTCTTTGTTTCTAATAAAATTTTCCTGTATCTTAATACTTTGGTTAAGTTTTAGATGGCATTGTTCACTCTCCCAATGTTCTTTCGGATTTCAGTGTTGCACTTTCTGTCCTTTGTTTAGATACTTCCTAGATATTTAAAATGTTGTACTTGTTTGTTTTGATTCAATTCGTAATTTGCATGTTGGGCTGTTTGTTTTTCAAAAAACCTGTATTCTGTCTTCTTACAAATGATGTTTAGTCCTTTCTTCTTTCTTTCCTTCATTACTTTCTGTATGAATTCATGTTGTTTCCTTCATGTGTCTGTTATTAAGGCTGTGTGTCATCTGCATCTTTCATTTTTGTTATCACAACATTGTGCTTTCCATGTGTCTCGGTGGCTGAATCATTGTGATAACAACAACAAAGATCATGATATTAGTCCGATTGTGAATAATTAAAATGTTTTTACTTATTTAAAAAAAATAAAATGGAAGAATTTTTATTGGAAAAGTTTGTGGAAAAATCAATACAATTATTAAAAAAAAATAACTAATTATTGAATTTTCATAAAAAATATTTATATTTAATAAGTGACTGTTGCGGGTGGTATATTGGCCTGTAAATTGATATCAAATGTCAGAAGACAACAAGACAAAACAAAGACTTGAGTAAGAAAATATAATGCCAAATTTATTGTTGTTAAAGAAAATACATTGAAAAATATGGCAATAGTTTATTTGGTTATAGACCTCTGCATATTCATGTAGAATATGAGAAGAGTGTTGTCCTGAAAAGGACAGTTTTTGTAGCCGGTGGGGAGTGTCGTCCCAAAAAGGACAGTTTTTGTAGCTGGTGAGGAGTGTTGCCCTGAAAAGAATTGTTTTTGTAGCTGGTGCGAAATGTCATCCCGAAAAGGACTGTTTTTGTAGCCAGTGAGGAGTGTCATTCCAAAAAGGACAGTTTTGTAGTGCAATGAAAGGATTAGTAAAGCTTGGGCAGGGTAACTGTTATGATGAGAGAAACAATCATGGTGGTGTCAGCAACAGCACACCTGTCAACAGGACAACAATTTTTGAAGAAATTCAGGGGAATAAAAGACAAACAAATAAACATAACCACAATGTGCCTACTACAAGAAGAAAATGAATGAGACCAGAGTCTAGCATTCAAGCCTTATATATTGCAGCTGGGACTGAAGATCTACAAAATGGCAGAATTCAACTAACACTTATAAACAGGAACAAAGATGCTAAAATTTTCATTGCTACATTTAGGATATCAATTGGTATAGCAAATATTCAAAGTGATCATTTGATACTGTAGTGACAATAAGAGCAGAAACAGGAAGTTACCTTTTCTCATAGCTTAAAACACAATGACATATTTTAGGTTTTATGCAATAGGCTCCACGCATAACTTCCAGTTGAAGTTGATTAAATACAATCCTAAATATATATATGTTGACCAATAAGAAATGAGCGTGCCTGAAATAATCAACAACTTAATCGGAGCCTCTTTCAACTTCGTTAACAATATAAATAGACCCCTGTCTAAAAGAAAAAAGAGAAGAGATTCCAAGAGAAGACACAGGGAGACGAACACTTACAACTGTGAACAGTTACATCAAAGGTTTCTCAGCTTCAACAACCACTATCACTCACACCTTTCTTGTCATTTTCACCCCTTTTACTTCTCCCATACATTCAACTTCCTTTTCATTATTCATGGGACATATTATCAAATGAACTAGCATCTTTCAAAAAAATTTAAGTACTTTTACAAACTCTTGTATTCATTGAAATATAAAAGAAAATTATTTAATCTTACGTAAATACCAACCTTGTGCCATCTATGAACGTTACTACTGTTTTTGTACAATACAAAACTACTTATTAATGTCTATATAAATTATCATTGTTATACTCCAGGGTTGATTGTTCTTAAGATGTAGTTTATCGTGTTTTATTTACTTCTTCATACAACCCTTATAGTGCGCTCAAATCCTAACAAGGCCCAAATTAAACCACATAAATAACCCACTATAATACTATATGTTTTTAACTAATGCGATATTTTCACTGATGGAATTATATATACGTATGAAGTGGAGAGGGAATATAACGCTTATCATGCATAGATAGGAACACTAAGAATAGCATCCTCCATGAGATCGCTAATAAAACAGCATAGCATGATGAAAAAAGCGACGAACTTGACGAAAACAAAATTTTATTGTCAAAATGTTTCTTACTAGGAAAGAAGAAAGTATTTTTAATTATTTAAAAAAAAATTTCATTCTTTTCAGAACATTCTAACCTTTGATTAGAAAAACTTGTTTCTCTTTGTATCAGCGGATATAACATAAAATTTTATTTTAGCGTGTTTTTTTATATAATAGACATTAATTTGGAAAAAATAATTGTCGAATTTTAATGAAACTTTCAGAAACAAGGCCCGAAATCAAACCCCACAAATAACCCACTATATGTCTTTGTTGATACGATATATTTTCACTGACGGAATTCTATATACGCATGAAGAGGAGGGGGGAATATAACGTCGGTTTATAATTATCATACATAGATAGGAAACATTAAAAAATATATTGGGATTGATGTTGAAATTTTAAACTTTCAA